TTCAATTCAATTGCACTCAGAGGACCAAACTAAACTAGCTGTATTTACCTTATCCTGCTTTAGCACCATGACTGATTTATTTATATATGTTTGATTATAATGATTGTGATTAAATTATTAACACTGGAGAGACAGTGTTTTGTTTTGTGCTATAAATACCTGATGTGTTATTGGGGAAAGTGGTCAGTCTAGATAATACTGTAAAACATGTTGAAATAGCTGCAGTATTTTAGCGAATTTGACTCTTGCATGAATTAACAGAATCTTAATTTAGCTAAAGTGTCGACTATCTGTGAGAATATACTTTCTGTTAAATTAGCTAAATCTTGAATTAGCGAAAAAAACAGATTAGCTAAATTCTAAAATGACATGCTAGTTAAAAAGACATGTTTTTTAGTAAATCAGGCTGTGTGAAAGCACTACACTGTAAATGTTCAAGTTGGATTCTATTCCCACAATGCATTGTATTGTTATAAAACAAAAATAGTAATCAAGGTATTTTAAAGTTGACATGTTGAAAATAGGCATAAGCAAAAACATCAATCCTTCTTTAATGCAGAGTGGGTAATTTAACGTTGTTGTCCCTAGACATATGAACTACCGGTACTCCTGTTAGTATGTAAATAAGAGTTGTCAAAGATACTGTTTATAATAGTACATACCATCTCAGATATCCCAACCTAATACATAGTGCATTGTCCCTATATAAACCCTATACACTGTATTATTTTGTTCAACACAATAGTATTACATGTAATATGTATTCAAATCGCTACATCCCTGTGAAACACTTCTGTAATGTTGTGTAGTATTACTTTACACTGTGTAAAAACTGAATAGACCATTGATGCAAATAGCTACCCAGGATTTCATTGAAAGCGAGAGAGCCACAATGCTGAGTTTTTTTTAGACCATAAATAGTGTACACTGTTTTAAGGCGGAAAAAAAGTATTGTGGCAAGATTTGCATTTAAGATCAATACTTCAGCAAAAAAAAAATTTTACTTTACAGTAGAGAATACTGTAGACTTCAAGTTTGAATAATAATATTTCTCATAACTGTACTTTTTTATTAGTGATAAATAAAATATACACAATATATCACAATGGATTTTGTTTACTTATCAGTCATTTGCTGTAATTCACATTGTAAGTTGATTTTCTACAATATTAGTGGAGAAAAAAGTCAACAAAGCAAATATATACAAAAAAATACTTACCCAATAATGTAGTTTGAAAAATTTGTGAGTCTCTCAAAGAGAGATTCAGCCTTTTCTTTAATATCGTTGGTGGTCGAAGTAGCTGCCATGCTGCTTTCTATTGCTTCTATTGGAGTATCTGCTTTATCTGGTGCTAAGCGAAGTAATACTTGAATCATCCAATGTACGATTTCAGCATGCAATACACGAACCTGAAATTAATAGATGAAATAAATACTGTTGAGTATCAGTACATCAAACCATACTAACTCACTGACAAGCTGCATAGGTCAAAGATCATAAACTACATAGGTCATAGGGCAAAGATAATAAACTGCCTAGGCCATAGTTCAAAGATCATAAACTGCATAGGTCATAGTTCAAAGATCATAAACTACATAGGTCATAGTTCAAAGATCATAAACTGCATAGGTCATAGGGCAAAGATCATAAACTGCAGAGGTCAAAGACCACAAACTACATGGGCCATAGCTCATAAACTGCATGGGGCATAGGGCAAAGATCATAAACTGCAGAGGTCAAAGACCACAAACTACATGGGCCATAGCTCATAAACTGCATGGGGCATAGGGCAAAGATCATAAACTGCAGAGGTCAAAGACCACAAACTACATGGGCCATAGCTCATAAACTGCATGGGTCATAAGATCATAAACTGCAGAGGTCAAAGACCACAAACTACATGGGCCATAGCTCATAAACTGCATGGGTCATAGGGCAAAGATCATAAACTGCATGGGTCATAGGTTGAAGATTATGTACTGCATAGGTCATATGTGTTTGCCATCATTACCTGTTCTACTAGTTTGGCATCTTCGTTATCCACTCCATTTATTGTAGTGGTTAACCAAGTCTGCGTATTCCGGAATATATGCTCAATTGTAATGCTGAATGAAAAATAAAATGTTCAATGAATAAACATATAATTCAAGGTAGACTCCAGTACATCGCTCTGCACTTATAGTGTGCATTTTTTAATGGCTCTCCTACATGTCATAGTTTTTGTACAGAATATTTTGGCATTCGATACATAAATCCACACCTCTCAGACTTTGTGTAGCAGAATTTGGAAACATGACTGTACATATATTGAAAGATATCACAGATATCAAGAATTAGGATAAAAACAATATGTGATTTCTATTATTAAGTATCAGTAAATAAAAATCTCACGGTTTGTGTTCTTTGTTAGCATTGCGATCTTCTTCTTTCTGAGTAGATCCCACCAAGGTGAAGGTATCATCAACAGTTATAATCCAATCATCAAAGAGATCATAAAGACGACCCCATTCTGATTCTGGTGGTAGCGACCCGCCATTTACAATCTGGTTTAGTCTAGAGTCCCACGGTTCCATAGCATTTGCTAGTGTTATGAAACCCTTGGCAACTCCTAGAAGATGAGAAATAGTAATAATTGTTGTGAATCCAAGTTGTATTGAAAGTTGATAATGTATTTGTAAAATATATTATATTGTAGGATCTTTATTAACTGATACATGGCCATCGGCCCAAAAAAGTAAATACAAAATATTTAAATTATTTACAATATTTCAGCGGCTTCCCTCCTAAGTTTCATAGCATTAAATACAAACGGAGCTAAACGCTGTAGAAGTACTTTGTAAAATATAAGGAACATATAAAGATACTGTTATGAAACATGACATATTAATTTGTGACATCTTGGTATTCATAGATTACTAGTAATCTTGGAAATTTACCTGAATAAACAATACTACTAATAATAATGAGGTTATTGAAAGGATATCGCAAAGTATTCACAAATTAAGACAATACAGTGGGAGTATTAATAACGTGTAACAAAGGTCAAAGTGGACCCACAGTACAGTAGGAGTTTCAACCTACACGCAGCAAAAGTCAAAACAAGTGTGTAGCGTCTGAATGCATACTTTGCAGTATCCTTGTAATAACACTAATAATTATCTTCTCAAACCAACCACTTGGTACAGGAAGCTCAGTGCTTAGCAAAATAGTGAAAATTATTATTAAAAGTTTTCTCGTAATGAACTTTATTAACAAAAGCATCTACTTTCTTGGAATTACCGCATAATTATTCTGTATTTCAAACTCACATTTCCTAATATGGAAGGATACGGAAAATCTGTGCAATACCGTAAATTAAAACATGTTCTGACTTTTAGCACCCCATTTCTATAGCAGCCAGACAACTGAAACTAGTCTACTAGGGAAAAGCAGGAATAATAATTTGCAACAACAGTATTGAATATTTCTACTAGACAGAATCTTACCATTTTCTCCATTGACTCGCACTTTGAAGAGCTCCATGAAATTTTCCACAAGCTGTACACAAAATAGGAAAAACAGTAAATAAAAAAATGTTACAATAGTGAAACTCTCACTTTAACCCTATTGTGCCATATTGTTTCCTGTTTCGGTGCATAATATTGCACATTTCAATATATGTTTCTACAATTTATTTGGTAATCTTGGATCAAGTGAATGTAATTTTTCATCAGGTGCTGGTCAACATTTTTGGGAAAATCGCTATGATGTAGCATTAATTGGTGAAGTTGACTTCCAATGGTATTCCAATGGTTGATAAACAACAGAGTGGAAAATAAACGCAAGCCATCATTATAATTACAGTTTGATTTATACAGACTTAAACTAAGCACCAATGGTGTATTGTGTATGCCACTGAATGAAACATCCTATGCTAGGCTACAATCAGATTCTACATATCACAGCAACTGGCAACATGCAAGAGGCCGCTGACATCGTTATGAAGTTGTACTCAACAAGCAGGTTTACACGTGGCAACACACCAAGGAATGTATGCATAGTTGCCTCGTTTGTATGCTACAATGTTGCCTGAAAAAAAACGTTAGTTTTCGATCCTTCGCCTTGTGTAAAACAAATTTAATTAAGGTTTGGTTTCAAGATTATTATATTTAAAGATATGAATATGCTCAGATTGTAGGAAATAAGTCACAAATGTTGAAATTTCAATGATTTTTAGTTTTTTTTAAATGTTGAGTTTCATTTAATAGAATAATTATAATTTTAGGTAAAATTCTCAGATATTTCCTACAATTTGATCATATTCATAACTGTCAAATATAATCGTTCCAAAACTTTAATCAGAATTTCAGAACTCCAATGTCTGTTAAAACATTCTAAAGGCTTGAAGATTATAGTTATAAGTGTTTTCCTGTGAAGATAGTACATTATATATATGACAAATACTAAAATCCATCAAGGGACACACCATGCACTGAATGAAAATAACATGCAAGCTGTGATACCATACATCACACCAAACTAATATTTACTACATATGGTCAGCTAGGTGGCCTTTATATAAAGGTGGTCACTACGAGCAGGTGGGTGGTCTGAATATTAATAAAGGTGGTCACTACGAGCAGGTGGATGGTCTGAATATTAATAAAGGTGGTCACTACGAGCAGGTGGATGGTCTGAATATTAATAAAGGTGGTCACTACAAGCAGCTTGGTGGTCTGAATATTAATAAAGGTGTTCACTACAAGTAGCTGTGTGGTCTGAATATTAAGGTGGTCACTTATGAGCGGCTAGATGGCCTTTACATAAAGGCCATCACTTTAGACTGTGAAGTAAGTAAATAGACAGTCTATTATGTATAGGTATGAAGACACTGCGCACTACATCTACAATGTGACATTAAAGCAAGCAACAACAAGAAATCAGCGACAAACCCAAACAAGTAAGGCATGAAAGTGCAATACAACGTGCTGAACGATAACATTGAAAGATTTGTTAACAAACTGCGGCACATGCTGGCTCAGTACAAAAGCCATGAATGAAAACATGTAGACAATATACATGTAGCCCTAAATTGTACGATATGAAGCACACAACTTGTATAATCAATGTATTTGTTTACTACAGATCTGTTTATTTTGACGGAGACTGTAAAAGAAGCTAAAACTAAACTGTATTGGAGTCTTGAGGTGACAATACAATGCTTTCTTTATCAGTCGTACGTATGAATGTATTATACTATGTATGATGAACAAGAACGAATTAGGTGAGCCGAAAAAGTGACTGCCAGTGAATACATAAAAAAAAATCCAATTACAATAAATTTAGCAGTTTTTAGGACATTATATTTATTTGC